ATATATAATGTGTGTGTGTGTGTTTAGGCCACAGGCTGACACTGGGTATCTTCTTCAATTGCTTTCCACTTTAATTTTTAAGACTCTAAACCTGGACTAGCTAGCCAGCAAACTCCACACATCCTCCAATCTCTGCCTCCCCAGCATTAGCATAACAGGCACACACCACCAAGCTCAGCTTTCTACACAGGTGCTGGGGATCAAACTCAGGCCACCACACTGCCTAGCAAGCACTTTACCAATTGAGCTATCTTCCCAGTCCCTTCTTGAACTATTTTTATAGATTTTTCTCTTGTTTGAGTTCTAAGGCAGACAAGTTTCACCTGTTGATACCCACTGTGTAAAGTGTTTCAATTATTTGTTGTCAAATTAGTTTTTAAACTTCCTAGAGACCTAAGAAAGGACACCTAATAGAGAAAGGAGGTAGTGTCAATATTGTGCAGTGAAAATCAAGCTTTCCAGATTTTGTTGAGCATCAGAACCACCTGGGGAAAGTTGGGTGCAGTGGAGCACACCTTTAACCCCACACTCAGGAGGCAGAGGCAGGTAGATCTCTGTTAAGTGTGGGGCCAGCCTGGTCTACATGAGTTTCAAGCCAGCTGTTACAGGAAGACCCTGTCTCAAAAAACAAACAGAAACAAAACAAAACAGAACAAAACCACCTCAGTTATTTTGTTTTTTTAATAACCATTTAGTTCTAGATTCAGATTCAGTCGTTCTGCAGCAGAGCTACAAACTGCATTTTTATAAAGCTTCTGAGACAATTCTGAAGATCAGCCAAGATGGGGAGCAACTGCCTTAAGGAACAACTGGGAGATCTCCACGCCTACATTGTTTAAAATTCTTCATTTCACTTAGTCACAGGGCCTGAAATTAGCATCCACTGCAGCAGTTATATTTTGGGTGAGAGTCCTCCTTGAAAAGGGTCAGGGTTAAGAGTATCGAAGACTCATTTACACCTTCTGTGACTTACACTACAAGCCTGGAATCTAGGTCTTGGAAAAGTGCCCCTAAAAGAAACTGGCTCAGCTGCCTCCCCAAGACCACCACTACATACACACTGCTGCTCTAACCTCATCAGAAAACCTCTGCTGCAAATCCCCCAGAGATAGGAAGCCCTCGGCATCATCAGGTGACACATGCCACTGGCTTATTTAGCAGAGTCTCCCAAACCTGGCTGTGTATCAAAATCTCCAGGGATGCTTTAACAACATGATTATTTCATGGCCTTATGCCAAACCAATAAAGAACCACATCTGCATGCTGTTGGTCTAATATGTTGAGTGTAAGATCAGACGAAGTAACCTGTTGAATGGAGAATAAGGAAAGATGATGTGGTGGTGGTGGTTCACGCCTGAAATCGCAGCAGAGGCAGAAGCAGGAGGGGTATGAGTTTGAGGCCAGCCTGAGCCACATAGAAAGACCTTGTCTCTATAAACAGGACTTTCGAGGAAGGAAGAGGGGACAGACCTGAGTTATCAGAGGGGAGCCAAAGGGTGCATGGAATGATGGAAGCGAGGCAGGTAAAAACAAGCTGGAAAGAGGAGTGGAAGGTCACTTGGGAGTCAATGCTACTCTAAAAAGATGCTTGGGGCTCACCCCCAAATGAACTCGCAGAGGTATACATTTCTCTGACCCCATTTTTCCCTTCCAGTTCTTGTTTCCCTGCCTCTTCAATTCATGTTTTGACTATGTGCTAACATAACTTTATAGCTGCCTTTGATCCTTTCTGAGACAAGGGGGACTAATTAAAATAAACCAGACAATAGAAAACTTCACAAGTTTAAGGATACCCTATACTTACTTTAATACTCTGAGATTTGGCAAGCAAGGCCACGTCCTTTTGCACTTTCCTCAGTGACTGTAGTACAGACTTTGACATGTCACTTCCCAGGCTCCCCTGGCCTGGCCAGTCTTAAAAGAAGGTTCACCTGGCCATGCTCACTGAATTGAAGCCAACCAGGACTGGCAAGAAGACAGCTGTGTTATCCACGCAGTAGTCCATCTGGCCTGCCACAAAGGGCGCCTGATGGTAGCAAGAGAGGAGGGCATGATGAAGGAGTAACTCTGCTTTGCAAGGCCCATATGTATCATGCTTCCAGAATGCTTGTTAGAAAAACAGATTCTGAGTCAGGCGCGGTGGTACACGCCTTTAGTCCCAGCATTTGGGACGCAGAGGCAGGTAGATCTCTGTGAGCTCGAGGCACACTGGTCTACATAGCGAGTCCCAGACCAGCTGGGGCTATAGGGAGACCCTGTCTCAAAAGACCAAAGAAAGGGGCCTGGAAAGATAGCTCAGTGGTTAAGAGCACTGGCTGCTCTTGCAGAGAATCCAGGTTCAATTCCCATCACCCACATGGCGGCTAACAACCATCCATAACTCCAGTTCCAGGGAATCCAACACCTTCTTCTGACCTCCACAGGCATTGCATGACACGGGTGCACTTGCACACATGTAGGCAATACACTCATACACAAAAAATAAAAATAATAAATAAAATATATTTTTTTAAAAGGCAAGAGCCAGGCGTGGTGGCGCATGCCTTTAATCCCAGCACTTAGGAGGCAGAGGCAGGCAGATCTCTGTGAGTTCAAGGCCAGCCTAAGTACAGCTGGGGCTACAGGGAGACCCTGTCGCAAAAAGACTAAAAAAAAAAAAAAAAAAAAAAAAAAAAACAAAAAAGAACGAAAGAAAAGATTGATTTACAGATTCCTACACCAAGTTAATACTTACTGAATCCAAATTTGAAGTGAGGGAGGAACATTTTTTACAAGTACCTCACAGTTTACCCAAACCTGGCCTTGAATTCACTATGTAGCCCATCTGGCCTTGAACTCAAGCCATCCTCCTGCCTCAACTTTGAGTGCTGGGATTACAAGCATGTATCACCCAGCTAGTACTGAATTTTTCATAAGTTTTTCCACAGAAATCTTTCAAATAATAGAGTTTGTAAACTACTGAACCAAGCTCCTTGAGGTCAATGCCCTGTTCCTTCTTGTCTTACAACTGCTAAGATCTGTTTCTGCTGACTGAACTCTTAGAATCAAAAGTGCTATGGAGAGACTAGAGAGTTGGCTCAGCAGTGAATAGCACTGGCTGCTCTTGCAGAAGACCCAGATTCAGTTCACAGCACCCACATGGCAGCTAACAACTGTCCATAACTCCAGTTCCAGAGGTTCCAACGCCATCTTCTGGCCTCTGTGTGCATTGCACACACAGTGCACTTACATGCAGGCAAAACATGCACATAAAATAAAAATCAATCCAAAAAATTGTTTTTAAGTGCTGTAGAGTTGATAAGAAACTTAGCCCAGTGTTTCTCAAACAAACATTCTGATAATCTTGTTAAAATAAAGATTCTAACACAGTTGGACCTGAGATCCTGATTTTGAACAAGTCCCAGTTAATACTGATGTTGCTGATTCAGGAACCATAGTTCAAAGAATAAGGGATGAATCCAGGGACTTGCCTCTACTGTGAAGGGCCAGAGAGTAAATGCTTTAGGCTTTGTGGGCCCTATGATCTCCATCCAACTACTTAAGCCTAGCAAAAAGAGGTCATGGATTCTAAGTAAACACAGAAGGCTGCGTGACAGTAAAACTGTATTCACCAAATAGGCAGCTGGCTACTCTGACTGCCAGCAAAGCTTGCTAACCCCTGGACTAGTCTGTCAATCTTGGCTGTTGATGGAACAATACACAGTTATTTTGAGATGGGATTTCCCTCCCCTCTTTCCACATTCATACAAATTGATCCAAATTAATGAAATTAAATGAAAATTCCTTGGATAAGTTTTCTATTTTCTAGCACTGACCTCGTCAATCTATCTTCCATGCTGTTCCAGCCCCACCCCTTCCTCCTTATAAAATCAACCCACTTGGCCTGTCCTCACACTTACAGAGAGTCCCACAGAAATGCCAATGACAATCACTCTCTTCTTCCCAGCTGCCACCTAGGAGAAGAGGAAGGGTGAGGTTGTGTGACAGGAAGGATCCCAAGGTACAACAAACCTATCACATGAGGGTATAAGGACCATAGGAGGGGACAGGCCTTGGCTGAATGTTGGGGTTTCTATAAACCCTTGAGAAGGAACACACAGGGTCTCTAGTTGAGTGTTAGTGGAAAGCACAGACCTTCTTCAGCTCCTCCATTCCGTGCTTCCTGGAGGCCACAACAGACCTAAGAGCGCAGACTCAATCAAGGTCAGTGGCACTGGTAGATAAGTAAATACCTATGGTTAATTAAGGAAGGGCACACTGAGAGAACAGAATGGAGAAAACTATCATTGAATGACTAACTACTGTTTGTCAAGCACCAGGATAGACATACCACAAAGTTAGAAAAACAAAACAAAACAAGAAACTCAAATACCTACAAGGGCCAGGCAGGTAGTATAAATCTGTAAAGGGGCCAGATATAAGGCAAGAAGTAATGGTGGGGACTGAGACAGGTTCAACATAATATTTTGCCTAACTCATTAAATTCAGTTTGTAAAAAACACATATTCAGGCCACATTCACAGATCAAGATAACTTACCTGTCACCTCCTGCAATGAGGTACGTATAAACAGGTTTTTGTCCTAGACCTTTCATTAGCTTGTTAAAAGACACCTGCCAAGGGGGAATGGATGTGAAGAAGGGATGATAATAAAGGAATACTTGGATTCTCAGCTCCTAGAGGACTAAAGATACACTATGGTTTTCTTAGGTTGATGTTTAACCCCATCCTACTTGGAATCAACCATTTAAAGGTGTAATTTTGGGGTGAGTAATTAGGGATGCATGAGATGTAGAGATGTTAACAAGAGAGTGGTGAGGTTCTATTTGGATCAATAAAATCAGACTCCATAGTGTGGACTGAGTTTTCAGAGTGGGACAGAGAGAGACCAGATCTATCTAGTAAGAGAAGAACTTAACCTATGATGAGCTTTATGGCTCTGGGGGTCAACCCCAGAAGATAGGAGGAAAACAGGGGATCAGGATACTCACTGATATGAGGAATGCCATCCGGCCAGACGTACCCCCTCCACTTAGCACCACCAGCCCCTCATCTGGCTCCTGAGGAAGGAATGTTGCTCGGGTTGCTAGGGCCCAACTCATGTTGAGGGAAGCATGCTTTGTTTTGTTGTCAGTAATGGAGGAGGACTTAGATGGATGTCTTATCCCTCCTCTCATCATAAAGTTGAGCAAGACATAGACCACGTAGGGTATCAAAAACAAACTGGATTGGATAAAGAAACCAGCTTGGCTCTCCTCTCTGTTTAAGCTATTTATTAAAACACTTACTTATTCCAGAAGGGACTGAGAGCAGTTTTGTCAACAAAATAAAAATAAATAATCAAAGCAGCACTATCCAGTAATTATTAGCTAGGAACATTTGGACAAACTACTGTGATCTATCCTTTCTTTGCTTTCTGGTCTGGAAAGAAAAATTAAAGATACAGGCAGACAGTAATACCAGCCTCGCAGATTTCTGTGAAGGGACTGAGAGTGTATGAATATATTTTGATGATAAAGCATTATGCAGCTAGTAGTTATCATAATTATTATTGATAACTAGCAGAAAATAAAGACTGAGATAATAAACAACTGAGATGTATAAAAATGAGAAATGGAGACCCCAAAAAGAGGAAGCTAGAGGAAACAGAAGCATTTGAGTGGGGAGCAGGTAGAGGATTAGTACCTTCAGCACTTCCTGAACTTTGCCAGCCACTTGCAACATGGTGGTCAGAACTGACTCACTGTACAGTCGCTGTAAAGAATGGGCAGGAATCAGAAGGAAGAAAGAATAGGAAAGAGGGGGGCACGGTGAGATGGCTCAGCAGGTAAGGGCATTTGCCACCAAGCCTGGCAACATGAATTTGATTCCTGGAACCCACATGGTAAAAGTAGAGAACCAATTCCCAAAAGCTGTCCTCTGATCTCCACATATATCCTGTGGAATATGTCCCCCTTACTAAATAAATAAATAAAAATAGGCGTGTGGTGGGGGGAAGAAAAGGAAGATGGAGAATGGTGATGGAGTACAGGGCTCAGGGTTTCCAATTCGAGGAGCCATGGTCAGGGAGGGGAGAGGCTGAGATGTGGTTGGCTTGGCATTTGTATTTGCAGTATCTGGGGAAACAGTCTGGGTCACCTGGTAGGTGGGTATGGCTTGCCCCGCTTCCTGGAAGATCTCAGCATCACATTGTCCCAGCAACTGAACAATTTTCTCTCCATCTTTGTCCAAGTTCTGGGTCAGTGGGTTTGACTTCTCTGTGATCGGCACAGCTGCTTCACACCCTGACAACTAGAGAGGGGGGCACAAGGAGGGGACATGAAGCTAAAGTCTGTTTTATACCTGCTGGACTGGATATGGGAACGGCAATAGGCACAGTGTTTGTGTTCAGATTCTTCACACACACACACACACACACACACACACACCAAACACACTACTCACATACCAAGAACTTAGCCTTCAAATGATGTCCTGGGCCTGTTAGGGACAGAAGATCAGAAGATAGGGAAAAGGGCATCAGTCATGGTGGTGCACACCAGCAACATGGGAAGTGTCATCAGAAGCTCAAGGCCATCTTTGGATGCCAGTTTGAGGCCAGCCTGGGCTACATGAGACCCTGCCTAAAAAATCCAAAAAGAAGAGGAGGAGGAATGGTAGAAGAAGAAAAAGAAGAGAAGAGGAAGAAGGAGTAGGAGGAGAGAAAGAGGAAGAGGAAGAAGAAGAAAAGGAGGAGGAGGAGGAGGAGGAAGAGAAAGAGGGAGCAGAAATCCAAGGTGGAGGCCACTTCAGATTTAAAACCATTCTAGGAATCAGTGCAGAAGGCTAAAATTGAGAAAGGGTCTCACCTCCCACTCGCCAGGCTCGGGGGTTTCAATTACATGGTTATATCGTTGTGCCTGGCATGGTCCCACACTGTGGCACTCTGTCCTGCCTGCCTTCTAGTCACAACAACTTTGCTTCTAGTTGGCAGGGTTTTATCTGAGCCACAGAGATGATTAACCCAAGAATTCTGTCTCTCTGAGCACCACCCCCTACACCTCTCCCTGTAACACTCTTTCCTGTCACTAATGTCCCCAGCCCTCTGAGGGAGTACCTGGGGGTCCTCTTTGCACATACTCCAATCTACCAGCCTCTACTTTGCCCAGTGAAGAGAAGGCCCAGAGAGTCATTGCTCTTGTCCTCCAAGCACAGTGCCCTCTTCCCTGGAAGGCCTGGAGCCTGGAAATGCAGAAAACACCCAGGTCAGAGAAAAGCCCTAGGCAAGAGAGCTCTGGGACCAGGATGACTCTACAGGGCAGAGATCAAGGTCAACGGAAGTCAGAGGACCTGGGCCATGGCCTGATCACATGTCAGTGCACACAGTCCTTCCCTGGCCCACTGGCCCATTTTATCCTCATCTCAGAAAAGGAAAGCAACAGAAGCTGCCTGAGCCCCAGGTGTGCATGCACTGAACTGGATATCACAGAGGAAAATTGCCACAGAAATAGAAATACTGCAATGAGATTGGGAAGCAAAGAATCTGCCCTAAATACAGGCAACATCTATTTACCCTGACCCCTGCACTTTTCATACAGGAAGCATCTGACTGGATAAACCAACACTAAGAAGTTAACGGTGACAACCTAATTTCTTGAATGATGAAACAGGTTCAGAGAAGTGTTACTTAGGGTCACACAGATTTCATATTCAGTATGAGATCATTTAAGGACTTACATGTTTACTGAATGAATGCAACAACTAACAAGTTGGTGCAAATTAATAACAAACATTTATATAGTAATGTTAGATTTCCTAAGATCCTTCCTCAACGTTGTCTCATTGAGGTTTCAAACTCTCTGCTTTTACAGGTGGGAAACCTGAGGCACAGGTTAACCAATTTCTGTAAAACGAATGAAAGAAAGTGAATGAATCTGCTTTTTAAATTGTTCCTATATGCCCAGCACTCTTTAACAAAACAAACAAACATCGTTGTAATCTCCAGCTCTTATAACGCCAGGCACATAGAAGATGATCAGTAAATATTTGCTGAATAAGTGAAAGAATGAATGAGAAAGCGAATGGAATCAAATCAGATCATGAATGAGAAAGAGACTTAAAAGCTGACGCAGCCTTCAAGAGCTTGTTAAAACAATTATTATCTCCATCACTCTGTCTCCTCTCTCAGCCCCCTCCTGCATGCGGAGGTGGGACGCCTCCTCCCAACTTGGCTAATTTCACCCCAGGAAGGAGGGGCTCTCCCTGGTGCCAGGGACCCTCGCACCTGCGCCTGTCCCCGCGCCCCAGCCAGCTGGTGGACTTGCGCAGGGAGAGTTAAGGGATGAGGACCCAGGAAGCAGCCATTGGAGGGTCGTGGGAGGAGCCCCAAGAGAACAAGGTGGAGGGGGGTGGGGGATGACGGCGGCGAGAACCCCGGCGGGGCGGGGCAGACCGGCGTCCCGGCCGGGCTGCGGCGGAGCGCGCGGGGCCAGCTCTGCAGAAGACGGCGGCTGGTTGGTCGGGACAGTCACATCCCGCCGCAGGGGAGCCGACTTCGGCAGCCGCACTGCCCTCTGCACCGGGGGACGCAGGCCTGGCCTGGTCTCGCCCGCTACGCCCCCTGCTCGGGACGGACCGCACGCGGCTGGTGCGAGCTCTGAGGACCCGCAGACCCGCGGCCGGCGCCCGCTCCACCCCTGCCCTTGGCCCGCAGCTCGGCCCGCGCTGTCCGCCTAGGCGGACCCGCGTCGGGATGGGGTAGGGCAGCGCCACAGTCGGGCGATGGGCCGCCCTCTGGGCACCGAGCAGCCCCCCGAGGCCTGACCAACCGCGAGGACCCGGGAGGTGGGTGTGGGCCGGGCGGACCGCGCGGGGGTGGGGGTGGGGTGGGTACCGGGGTTATGCGGAGGCGGGAAAGGCGTAGGGGAAACCGGCCGTGGGACCCCTGAGAAAGCTGCTGCCATCCCGCGTGCGTTCCGGGCAGCTCCCGACCCCCCTCCACTCCTGCCTCCTCCAGGATCCCCGCCTGTATGTCAAGCGGATGCCTCCGGGCCCCCCAGCGAACTCGGTGGGGACCATGGCTTCGCTGATGCCTCTCTCCCCATATCTGAGCCCGACGGTCCTCCTGCTGGTCAGTTGTGACCTGGGCTTTGTGCGAGCAGGTGAGTGAAGAAGATGCCCGCGGTAGAGGTCCATCAGAGCTAGTGTGGGGTGAAACCCCTTAACCTGTTAACACCCTGGCAACCCTCAGACCGACCTCCCTCTCCTGTGAATGTGACGGTCACTCACCTCAGAGCCAACTCGGCCACTGTGTCCTGGGACGTTCCAGAAGGCAACATCGTCATTGGCTACTCCATTTCCCAGCAAGTATGAATCACCCTTTTGCCTCCCCAACCTGTGTCCTTGGATCTCTGAACATCCCTTCGGTTTTCTCCACTCTACTCCTTTGGAGTGCTTGGATATTCCAGAGTACCGAGTTGAGGCTGGTGGCCAGGGACTAGGGCTAGGCTACTTTCCTCTCTCTGCATCTCCCCGCAGCGACAGAATGGCCCTGGGCAGCGTGTGATCAGAGAAGTGAACACCACCACTAGGGCCTGTGCTCTCTGGGGCCTGGCTGAAGACAGCGACTACACTGTGCAGGTCAGGAGCATCGGCCTCCGAGGAGAGAGCCCCCCAGGGCCCCGAGTGCACTTCCGCACTCTCAAGGGTTCTGACCGGCTGCCCTCCAACAGCTCCAGCCCAGGTAAGTGTCTGCATCTGTGGATCTGCTTTTTACCTGGCTTTCATTTACTTCCCCAAGGCTAGCAACGATGTAGCTCAGATGAATAGAAAGATTATTTAATTCATTCTACTGCCAGGAAAGGAAAGAAAAACAAGTGGGCAGGGGGCCAGCTATAGACAGGCTGTTAATGAGTCCTTTGGGGGAATGGCTTTTAAGCTTCCTTTCACCCAAACTCACTTCACATCTGCTGCAGCCTGCATGAGGCAGTCTGTATCTGCCCTTTGGTCTCTAACCACTGTCCACCAATGGCTTCTCCCTGAGAGGGGCTACCCACACTCCAGGGGCTGCACAATGATGGAGCTCTCCAGCAGGTAACCTGTTACCCAGAGTCTGCCCTGCCTCCTCTCCTCTCCTCTCCTCTCCTCTCCTCTCCTCTCCTCTCCTCTCAGGTGACATTACAGTGGAGGGTCTGGATGGAGAACGGCCACTGCAGACAGGGGAAGTGGTTATCATTGTGGTGGTGTTGCTCATGTGGGCTGGTAAGTGACAGATGAGGAACCAGGGAATGGGACTTTGTGATGGTGGGAAGTGGTAGGAGCTGGGCGAAAGTTGGTGGAGGGAGGTGATCAGGACAGGTTTGAAGACAATTGAGAGGCTTGAGGGCCCAGAGATAAGGATTTCATGGGCACCAGGTATTCAAGGATTGACTTGGATTTTCTAGAAGTTGTGTGTATATCTCGATGCCCTTCAAGGCTGTGAATGGAGAGGTCGAGATCAAGGCTCAAATGGTATTGTTGTTTCAGCTGTAATTGGGCTATTCTGCCGTCAGTATGACATCATCAAGGACAATGACTCCAACAACAACCCCAAGGAGAAGGGGAAGGGGCCGGAACAGAGTCCTCAGGGAAGGCCAGTGGGAACAAGACAGGTGATGTGGGGACCAGCGAGGGTAAGAAGTATCCTGTGAAAGGCAGAAGGATGGGCAGGAAAGGGGGGGGGGGAATGGAAGGTCTGGGATGAAGAAATCCAAAAGCAAGGGTGGGATCTGTACCTTGCTGGACTTAGAGACTCAGGTCATTTTCTTTCACAGAAAAAGTCGCCATCCATCAACACCATTGACGTTTGAGTGAACATTTCAATGAAGAAACAGAACCAGAAGAGAGATGTACTAATAATCTGGGGGTGGGTGGGGTGGGGTCAGGGAAAGCCTAAGATGCTGATCTGCTCAAGACTCCCAGAAGGCAATGCACTCCCACAATCTCAGGCTGGTACCCATCCTCTTTCCACTGTGAGCAGGGCCAGAAGGTAGGTCTGTTAGAGTCTGCACCCCTGGACCTGGGAGTGGATATCAAATGAAACATCTCCTTCCATTCCCCAGGTCCAGGGGAGAGTCACTTATTCAACCCTATACCATTAGGTCCCAAATAGGGGCCCCATTTCACCTGCATCAGGATACTTGGCACCCCTAGCTGCCCCCACAGCTTGCCTCTGGGCCTCAGAGAGGGGTGTTTGTGTCAGCACTTGCCTTCCAACAAGAAGAATCATCTGGGCCTAGAGGCAGATGCCGCACTGCACTACTCCAATGTCTTCCACGGAGCCTCAGGTGCTCCCCCCTCACCTGACAGCTCTTTCAGCTGCTGGTGATCTCACCCCTTGGACATTTTTCCAATAAAGGTTCTTGGACAAACTGGAACTGACTGTATAGTAATACTGTATGGTACGCTGAAGATATCTCTACACCTTGTTTCTTACCTGACTCTCCATGGGCCCCTCATGCCACCACTAACTTAGAGAAACAGACTCTCAGTGTAAAGTGTCTTGTGTTAATGTTTCCATCTAAAATGGGTGGAAAGGGACAAGGAAAGAGGGTGACCGAAAACTAGAACCCTGGTTTCTTTTGCTTTGTTGGGTGAGAAGGGGGAATGAGAAGATAACAGTTTTTCCTGCACCCATGGAAACCAGGGTACGTCACACAAAAGGACACAAAAGGTAAAGTAGACTTTACCTTCACCCAGGGCCTTGTACATTCTAGGCAAGTAAAAAGTGCTCTACCACTGAGACATAGCCATCCCCCTTCCCCATGAATTCTTCTGACTCCACCATTTACCCTGGACAAGTGGTCAGAAAAGACTGAGCAACGTCTTGGGGGCTAATGAAAGAGCAGCTACACTAATGGGTCTCTTGGTGTCATGTGCTGTCATCCTGTGCTTTCTGGTGCCTCTTCTGCCTCTGTTTTTCTCCTCCATCTCAGTCTCTGGTCATTTAAAGTTAATTATAATTGTAATTCATAAGTGAATTTATATTTATGCTTTCATATATCCAGAGGATTCTGGAAATAAAACTAAGGGGTTGGACTCCCCTATCAAAAGAACTATCATTTGGATTCTGGGAACTATTTGTTTCCTGTGGAAAATAGGGGCTGTCCATTCTACTCATTATTGATTTTCAAGAAGGAATGATGGCAACGAGAAAAGTACTTACTGACATTGGCAACCATTGTGAGGACCAGGCTTGGGACTGAGCATCTGTCCAGAGAGCATATGCTACATTTTTGGGACGGTGACAGGATGTGCCAACGTTGGGTCATTCTAGAGAAGGCTTATGGATAACTCTTGTTCTGCATTTCAAGCTCTCCGATATGTTGTAAGAAATTAGATCAAGGAGCTTGAAAGATGACTCAGCAGTTAAGAGCATTGGCTGCTCTTGCAGAGGAACAAGGTTCAATTCCCAGCTCCCACATAGCAAACAACCATGCATAACTCCAGTTCCAGGGTATCTGATACCCTCTTCTGGCCTCCTCAAACATTGTACAACATAGATGCACCTACCTACTGCAGGTAATATACTCATACACATAAAGTAATAAAAATATTTTTAATTAAACCAGAAATTGTTTTTGTTTTTCAATATTTGATTATTTTTATTTTGTGTGTATGTGTGTATTACCTGCATGTAGGTAAGTGCACCCGTGTCATGCAATGCCCTCGGAGGGCAGAAGACGCTGTCACATGCCCTGGAACTGGAGTTATGGACAGTTGTTAGCTGCCATGTGGGTGCTGGGATTCAAACCCGGGTCTTCTGCAAGAACAACCACTATTCTTAACCGCTGAGCCATCTCTCCAGCTCTAAACCAGAAATTCTTATAAGGATTACAATCCAAACAATCAAGAAGATAGGCTCTGGAGCTGGAAAGGTGGCTCAGCAGTTAAGAGCACTGGCTGCTCTTGCAGATGACCCACAATGAGTTCCTAACACTAACATGGCAGCTAACACCCTTCTGTAACTCCGGTTCCAGGGCATCCAACGCCCTCTTCTGGCCTCCAAGGGCATTGCATGCATATGGCCCCACTCTTACATACTTGCAAACAAAACATTCATACACAAAACTCTAAGTAAATAAAAAATAAAAAGATAGGATCTTTTCTACTTAACCCCCAACTCCAGGTATCACACAGCTATCAGGGGAGCCAAGGTCTGGTCTTTCTTTGCACTGACCCTTCTGGATTTACGTAAGCAGTCTTGAACTCACCATTTACCCAAAGGCCAAGCATACTATCTCAAACTCTGGAATCATTTCTTGGTATGGTAGATTATAGACTAGAGTAGTTGGGCATGAAGACAGTGAGTTAAGAAGACCTGAGTCTTCTCGTGGCTACTAAAGCTCTTGGCTAAATCTCAGTTCCACCCTTCACTGGCTGTTTTAACTTCGGCAAGTGACCCCTCTAATCTTGTCTCCTGTCATGTGAAATGGGACTAACGCTACCCACTTCAAAGGGTGGTTTTGATATTAAACAATATAATGCATGCACATTTTGTATAGTACCCAAGCAGATAGACACTGAGCACCACTCGCTGTTGCCTATCAGTAGTGAGTGGCTCAGTGATCAATCTCGTGCAAGTCGCATAACTTTTGGGGGGATTCAAATCTACTAATTTCCTTTTGCCTAGCGTAGCAACTGCCTTGCTTTCCCCAGAGTTTAAAGACTAAAGGAGCGTGCACTCTGCCCGCTGTACAGACACTAAAGAGTGTGAAAGCCTAGGATTACGATGACGTAGAACCCGGAGCCGCTTGTGGGTGGAGCTTTGCCTTAGGTTTGCATGCCGCTACGGGATTGGTCGAGGAGAGGATCTGTCAACCCCTTTCACTCTCCCGCCCTAGGTCTCATTGCGCTTGCGTACGTCCTGTGCCCTCCGCCGTGAACCCACGACGTGACCTTGTGACGTATGTCGCGCTCCTGTCGCCCGCCCGTGCGTCAGCGGCTGGCGCTGTGGCTTGGAGGGTTGTCCAGGTAACCACAGGAGTTGTCGCGGTACGCTAGCATCCCGGACCGGTGTGCGTCATGCAACTGAAGCACCTGAGGACCCTGCTGAGCCCTCAGGTGAGGAGTTGCGTGCCTCTCCCCTCCCCCGGCCCCGGAGCGTTCCCAGAAAAGTCGGGCAGAAGTTTGCAGTGTTGAGCGCCTATTTTGTGCAGAAGACTGAAAGATCTAGCCCTGATCCAGACTCTGTCGATTCAATAGGCTACATGTATTGTTAACGACCGTAGCTTTCGTCGCGTTTCATACACCAGTTGTGTGCCAGGCCTCGGGCTGAGGCTCTAAGGGATCCAAGTCCTCCCCTGCCTTCAAGAGGCTTATTCCGGAGGGAGAGGCGTATGTTTAGACAATGAACATAAATCTGCGCGGGATGAAATGAGCGCTTTAGTTGCAGAACTAAACGAGGGAGGGCGGAAGGCTGACTCTTCATTTCGATGATGAAGAGGCTGGGTACCGGAGTGAAGCCCTGAAACATGAAAAGAGGTTTTGGGAGTTAGGAGAAAAGAATTCAAGTCTTAGTCCCATCAATAATTTCACCAAATGATGTAATGTCTCTGGCTTTAACCGTTAACACTATCTTTCTGAACGCTGGCTTCTTCATTTGGAAAATTGAAGCGGTAATGATAGTAACTTTAAGAGACTTAGGAGAAAATTAAATAAAATAATGTACTCAAAGACTTTATAAGCTGGGCTTGGTGGCATGTGCCCATAACCCCAGAAGCTGGTAAGTGGAAACAGGAGGATCACAAGTTCAGGGGGATCGTGAGTTCAGGGTCATTCTTGTCTGCATAATGAATTTGAGGCATCATCCTGGTCTCATGAAGCCAGTGAGATGGCTCAGCAGGTAAAAGCACTTGCCACCTCGCCTGACAACCCAAATTCAATCCGGGAGACCCATATGGTGGAAGGAGAGGAACTGACATGCAAGTTTTCCACTGATATCCCACATGTTCCACTGCCCTTAAAATAGATGAATAAATGTAATTTAAAAATATTTAGAAGAGCATTATAAACTAAAAAGCAGTGTGAAAACCGAGAGACAAGAGGAGACATACAGAATTGAAAGGACAAGCTCACATAAAGCTAATAAGAAGGTCTGCTATGGGTACTAGCTCAGTCAGTAAAGTACTTGCCTCACAAGTATAATAAGGACCTAAGCTCACATCCCCAGCACACATTTAAAAGCTGGAGGCAGTTGTAATCCCATCGCTGGGGAGACAGAGACAGACGGATCCCTGGAGCTCATTGGCCAGCCAGTCTAGCCAAATTTATGAGCTTCACATTCAGAGACCCTGTCTTCAAAAAATAAGGTGGATGCAGAGTTTGAGGTGGCATACAAAAGACTATCTGCCATGGGCTGGAGCTATAGCTCACTATAGAGCACTTGCCCAGCCTGCATGAGGCCCTGCATTCAGTCCCAGCTCCTAGCACTACAAAAACAAAATACTTGCCTGGTCATGGTGCTATAGTGCCTGGAAGACTGAATCAGAAGGATCACTGTGAGTTTAAGGCCTGCCAGGGCTACATAGCAAGACCATGTTTAAAAAAATAAGACTATGTGCCATAATTATGTCATATATAAATATGTATATATATACACACATATGTACACAAATTATGACAGGATAATTAAAGATGTTAGAATTATAGCTTATGGAGTCAAATGTACATGGTTTCATATCTTGGTTCTGCCACTTACAGACTGTGTAAACCTGGGAAAATTTCCTAATTTTCAGTGCTTCCATTTCCCCATGTATAAAATGGGAACCACAGTAGCATCTCTCTCAGAATTATGAAGTAAGACGTGACAACGGATATTAATCATTTACCAATACCTCCCCCAGGGTTAGTGGTTATTGGAGGTTAACTGTTGTTATTCTATTACCTACTTTATTTAATCCTCAAGAAAGCCCAGTGAAGCACTTACTATAGAGAAAGGAAAGTCCATTGGCCATGGAACTCAAGAAGGTTCCACAGAGCATGTGGAGAATGAAAGTCAGTTAGAACAAAAGAGAGTTGTAGTGGCTGAGGCCCTAGCTCGGTGGCAGAGTACTAAAAAGTTGTGGTCCTTGCTCAGAAAGATGTTCCTGAAATTTGTAATTTAAAATTGCTCTTGTCTTAATGGAAAAGTTGGAAATGGAACCCTTTAGTCTCTCAAAATAAGATGATGTCATGATGCAGGTGGGCCAGATGCCTGGGATTGGTCTCAGCTATGAAGGAAGGTGACCAGCCAAGGCTGATGAGTAGCCTTCACCCCCTTCTAATGTATGGTAATGAATGGTTGGAGCAACCGTGATGATGGTGTGCCTATTTTCTGGTTCTGGTTTGAGGATTTTGGTGCAGTAAACCTTTTCCCCCTGGCTTTGGAGGTATTTGG